AGAGCCTTTCCAAGGTGAGCTTCATGACCAGCCGTATGAAATCACTGAGGTATCTGGACATGAGCAGCAACTTGCTGCGTAACAGTGGAGCTGAGAAGCGCTGCCAGTGGACTGATTCTCTGTCAGAGCTGGACCTGTCCTCCAACCAGCTGACAGAGTCCGTGTTTGAGTGCCTGCCCGTTCGTATCAGCAAACTGGACCTACAAAACAACCAGATTGCCAGCGTCCCCAAGGGGATTGCTGAGCTGCAGTCCTTGAAGGAGCTGAACCTGGCATCCAACAGGCTGGCCGACCTGCCAGGGTGCAGGGCCTTTGCGGGCCTGGCGATCCTGAACATAGAGAGGAATTTGATCCTCACGCCAAGTGCCGACTTCTTTGAGAGCTGCCCGAGCGTGAAGGAGCTGCAAGCTGGGCAAAACCCGTTCAAGTGTTCGTGTGAGCTGCAGGACTTCCTGCGCCTGGAAAGGCGGTCTGGGGGCAAGCTGTCCGGCTGGCCAGAGCCGTACGTGTGCAAGTACCCAGAAGACCTGAGCGGCACGCAGCTGAAGGACTTCCACCTGACCGAGCTGGCCTGCAACACCACTCTGCTGCTCGTGACAGCTCTGCTGCTGACGCTGGTGCTGGTGGCTGTGGTGGCCTTCCTGTGCATCTACCTGGATGTGCCGTGGTACGTGCGGATGCTGTGGCAGTGGACGCGGACGAAGCGGAGAGCTTGGCACGGCTGCCCCGAGCAGCGGGAAACCGTTCTGCAGTTCCACGCCTTCATTTCGTACAGCGAACGCGATTCGTTGTGGGTGAAGAACGAGCTGATCCCCAACCTGGAGAAGGGGGAGGGCTGCATCCAGCTGTGTCAGCACGAGAGGAACTTCATCCCTGGCAAAAGCATTGTGGAGAATATCATCAACTGCATTGAGAAGAGCTACAAGTCCATCTTTGTGCTGTCCCCCAACTTTGTGCAGAGCGAGTGGTGCCACTACGAGCTGTACTTTGCCCATCACAAGTTGTTTAGTGAGAACTCCAACAGTTTGATCCTGATCTTGCTGGAGCCGATCCCTCCATATGTTATCCCTGC